GCCACAAACAAAGTAGGGTTAGTGTTTGCTATATTGCCAGAAACTTGGGAGGGAGTAGTAGTCACCATCAATTGAGAATTCATTCAGATTAAAGGAATTATCTATATTTTTTTCTTGTAATTGAAAGGTGATTTATGTTGAAATAAAACAAAATGAACAAAGGTTAACATTGGAATAAAGGCAATGCAAATATTGCTCCATTGAACATAGTTCAATCTTTGAGAAATACATCCATTCACAACAGTAATGAGGAAAAGAGTAAAATTTATTTTGAGTGCAAGTGCTTATGGGGATTTACTGTACATAGAAGATATATCACCCTCCCATTGATGGAGGGCTACTGTTGCATGATGATTACCTCATGCACTAGTACAGTTCACATTAAAACACATCTTAGGTGAGAGATAGCTCAAGGCTAGTGGCATGCAGAAAAACTCAAAGACAGACATTCGAGGAACAGGTATTGTGTGTACAGAGGTGCGGATATCATTTCAGAATTCTTCTTTACATAAAGCTTCTTATGCTTTGTCTACCTTTGGAGGCAAAACTAGTCACTTGATAGTGCGTTGTTGTTTTTTTTGTAATAGCTTGCACAAAACTACCCGAGGGCTATCTGTGCCAGCGGCCTGTAAATTTAAAGTGATAGAGAGACAGTAGGTGGCTGGCTAGTCAAAATCACCCACCACCAACAAAAAACAGGATAGGCATTTACATTATATTGCCCCCACTAATAACCAGTTGCAATTATGAATAAGAAAAGGAAATGTCATACAATGAACAATATAAAAACTGAGGTACACATGATAGATATCTACAGGACGATTACTATTGGACAGAGGCAGGTATGTTAAGATAATGATAAAAAAGAACAAAAATGGGAAGAATTACCACTTACCCCCACTGGAGCCTCAAAAGGAAATTCTTGGGGCTATGAAGGATTTATTATAATTGGCAGTGGTCTGCTAGATGATCTTCTCGCTATGAGACAAGGCTTTTTTGGGTTTGTGTGAATTCAACCTGATGTTTTGTGCTTTATGGAAATACTTCCAGTCTTCCTACTGTTGACATAAGGCTCATGCCTCCATACACATAGCTGCCTCAGTTCTTCCCATTGTTTGGAATGTTTCTGAATATATTTATCTATATATTCTGGATTAGGTTTCAGGATGTAGCGATCCCACTAAAAGCATATGCACATTTGAAGTTGTTGATACTTTGCCACCTTAAATCCTTCAATTTGACACTTTATATGCCCCCATTGATGACTATTAATCTCCATCAGCTCAGGTTTCACTGAAGATGGTGTGGCCTTCTTTGTTTGTGTCAATGGTAGTGGTTGGCTAGGATCCACTTGTGACTTAACTGACAAGAACAGCAAGAGCTTCTATTAGCAGCTCATGAACTGATGTGACATTAGTTGTTGTTGTAGCAAATGGCCTACATATATAGCATTCTGACCACTATTGTGTTTGTTGGACTGGACTGAGTGAAACATGTTGTCAGCAACAGATATGACAAATATAGTGTGGTTGAAATACTATTATTATACACTCTTCTAGTTCTTGAAAATCCATAAGGGATTAGATTTGAAACGTAGTGTTAAAAATATAATAGGCCTAACATAATGTCTTTTGACAAATATAACTAATTACTACTCAGATTGGTAGTGCAAGCAATACTTGCAAAATGTCATACAAATATATTACAACTGAAAGCTGCTACACTGCCCAGAAATTAAAGGTCTTGATGATCTTTCTGTCCCACTAATCTACTGATCAACAAACCATCCTTCTTTGGTAATAAACTAATGGCAGTCACACAATGTAATGTATACATATCACCAGGAAACACCATTGAATATTTCAGAAAGTAAGGAATGCCAAATCCTTTCAGTCCTTGACCTTACAATCAAGTGACGGTCCTAAATGCTTGTCTGGCAATTAATCCCAGCCATATCAACTCGGAGGTCATGGTCAGCATCTTACTCAACCATTAGAACTGTATGCAGCTCCATAATTGGAATTTCCTTGTCTGACTCCTCTCAGACAAACACATAAGTGCTTCAGAATCTTCCTTCTCATCAGCTGAGTCAAAATAATACAAAGCAGTGCTTTAAATATCCTTTGCATCATTAGTAAAAAAATCTAATTCTTGATCTAGCCAATGCTCAAGTGATTCTTCACTGACATATGGCCTTATCTTGTGAACATGCTCAACTCATATATACCATATTACCTCTGTAATTTGTAGCTTGATGGACCAAGTTGCCAAAAACAAAATAAGGACCTGACAAGCAGTTTTAGATCATCATCTCTTGTCATCCAGTTTGGCTTGCTATTATCCAGAAGTCAAGTCTAAAGTGCTGAACCAAGGAGCACATTCCAATGCATCCAAACATTCGTCTGTCCATGGAAGCATAAATGCAGGCCAGTGCATTCACCTATCTAAAATAACACAAAACCCTGGTATGCTCTCCTCCTTCCTGACAATCACTACTGAGGACAACCCTATATGCTGTGAAGGCATTACAATTCCATCCTTTAAGATCTACCATATTTCAGTGCTAGCTACATCCCTAGTGCTCTAGGAAAATTGGTGTGGCAGTTGTTAATTGGATGTGCATCTCCTGTATTTATGTGATGGCGAGTTATATTTATCTGACCAAACTGTTCATAGAACCCATGAACACGTCAGCATATTTAAATAACAATTCACTGAACTTCAGAAACTGTTTTGAATCCACATTACTTGCACAGTCTTCATTTAGTAACTTCAGATGCATTGGTAACTGTATATTTGTTCTCAGTGCAGAACAACAAAAACTACCTTAGTAATACCACTAGATTCAATTATCTCCACTTTGTTTACTGCGCCTATAACTGTTCCAGCATGGAAATGAATAGCCAAATGTCTGTTATTAAATAGTCAAATCATAACTGTATCAATCCTCAGACAGGTAACTGTTTGAGCTAATGCTGCCTGCTTTCAGGACAAAAAACAGTGTATTTTATACACTTGTTCCATATCTCCATGCTAACAATAACAATTTACTAAACTTAGACCATAATACATCACAGAACATCATTTGTTTATTTTGAAGTATTTTGACTCTCCTTCAACATACGTTTGTGCAGTAAACACTTTTTGGGCCTAATCTGGTCAGCACTGGATGATATCCCTGTATCAATACAGTTTACCTAACAAGCTGACAAATTCCACAGTAGGTCAAGATTCAAATACCAGAACCAAAATTACTTTACAACTATCTTTATCCTAGCTTCTTAGCTAGCTATGATATTATTTCTTCTTTACAAGCATACCTTTAAACAAAACCATTAATACTTGTATATGTAAGCTCTCATGTAATAACATTTCTTTAGATGGCTTTTCTCAACCTCAATTTAAGACCATGTTGAACCTTACAATCAAGAATATTCATTTCTTATTTAACAGCACCCTCTTTGAATAAATAAATGGCATTGCAATGGGCTCCTCATTATATCCAAGAGTTCAATATTACCTAATGCATTCCTCTCTTTTAAAAATTTTTGACCAATCCCAAAGAATAACTATTTTTGCTAAAAAATTATCACTCTTTGAGGATATATCATCCATTTCTTGATTTTCAACCATTTTCCATAGTTTTTATATAGGTCTTGGCTGAAACCTTGGTATGGTGTAATATTAAGGTGTTTGAACATTTACTAATGAAACACAACTTTTAAAACAGCTATAAAGAAAGTTGAAATGTGATTGTATAGAAAAAAAAAAAAGAGTTAGACTGTCATGTATTAATAGACTCAATAGTATAGTGTTTGTAAATATTCCTTTCATTTTAAATTGTGAAAATACTTATGTGTTATATCTGTTTAAAAGGTAGAAATATTTTCTTCAATGATAAGACATCAGACAACTTCAGATAAGGTAAACCATATAATTTGGAGATCAGTTGAATGGGTAACAAAAAAACTTTATCAAAAGTTTAACTCAGTAACAAATGTGCAATGTTTGGAAAGGTTTTGTCATCACAGGAACATGTAGTTTACCTAGACACGAGAATATACAAACAGCTTGAAACAATGAAGTCGTATGACTGGAGATTACTTAAGGCTTAATACAGGTATTTTATTGCTGTTTGCTTCTTTCTTTAAAATTATGAAGTTTTTATTTTTTAAAAGATATACTATGGTTTTATTGAGTTGCAATGTTTGTAAAATTTTTGTTTTTATATTCACCAAGTAAAACTGTCATCAAACAGGATAATATTAGTGAGTACGATAGTTAATTATAAAATATTCTGATGAATCAAATCTTTACAGCTTATTATTTATCCTATTTAATAAAAAAAATTAATAAGTTGTCTAACAAACTATTTATTTATTTCTAATTGCAATTGTGATATGTTTTAAATAAAAACATTATTACCCTTATCAGTGATAGTAAAAAATGTTTTCATTATTTAATTATCAATTTATTTAATTTACAAACGACAAGTGTGGAATTACTGCATACTTAGAGAAAAAACTAATAATGACAATGTGGTGGTACTTAGACACCATTAGCAGTTCATTTTTTAAGTAGGAAATGTCCATAAAATTTGTGGCAAAATATATTTTTGAAAACACAAAATGATCAAATTATAATTTTCAGAACAGGTCAATGATATCAAATAAAGGATAATTCAAAAATTACTTTAAAAAAACCCAAAAATATGAATAAAAATGGAAAGATTAATACCATGTTAGCATATTGTAGTGGTTGAAAAAGTTATGAAGGTAGCACACACTTGCTTTTCTTTTGCTTGCTTGAATGGATTGCAGGGGTGTGTGTACTAATTGATTAATCAAATATAAGTCATTAGTGATCCCACCGATTACCCAATTAGCAAGCACCACTAATTGGCAAACTCAATTTCAAATATTATCTTATCAAGAAAATATGACTAATTTAGCTAAACACTGATAAACAATTTGTATAAATAAATTTTTTCATTATCTTACAACAAAGAGACATCACTGTCAATCTGTTGTGGTTCTTGCTGTTGTACAGGCTGGTTTAAAACAGCAAAGCGATTTTGTGTAAAAGTTCGAGACTGTTCTAAAGTCTTGGTAAAACTGAAACCTCCATTAGTTGATTTCTGGACAGCATCTTTTGGTGTCCATGTGTATTTATTCCGATCATAAATAACAGGTTGTGGTGTAACATTTCGACCTGTAAAAAAACAAAAAAGGAATTAGAAAAAATACATCTTCTAATTGAAAATGAGTTTCTATACCTTTATTTGGTATTTCTATTAAAGTTCTAAATAACCTCTTCATATTTTTCATATTTAAAATGCAATTGAGACCTATATTCCAATATATCCATTTCAATTTCACTTCAAAAACATATACAAACATGTAAGTAGCTGAGACTAAGAATTAACTAATTCAGTGTCTAACAGAAAATATTCAGGAATGATCTACCATCACCCTTCTCTCAGATTTGTCACACTCAGGAGGAAGCTTCTATTCCAGCAGCTATGAACTGGAAAGTGGCAAGGACTACTATACTCCACTGGAAGAGGAGAGTGGTGGGGAGTATGAAGGAATGTAACACTGTAAGACAGTGGAGTGGGAGACCATAAAAACCCGATTTAAAAAAGCAGGTCAGACCCAGTTTATTTAATTAGAACCAGATGAATGGGCAGCAGTCTCAACACTGCTTTATTCATGACAGTCCATGAGTTGGTACCATCTCGTTCGGGCCTTATTTATGAAGCAAAATACCATGAAGCAACCTCTAGTGTGTCAGAAAGAAACTGCTAACGAGGGAGCTACTAGAAGCCAGCCATTCTTGTAATGATAGAAAAGAAATCTTCGAGAGTGGAATCATTTGGCAAAACCCTTTACCACCCAACAAAAAAATATAAGGGGCTGAGTCCAGCCCTAATGGAAGGGCTCTGAATTGGTAGACCAGTCCTCATGGACAAACTGAAGGAAATGACGGGATGCAGGGGATATGGAGATATGCATCCAATGCATTGATATTGTCATCCATAAACATAGAGTAAACACCCACTGAAGAGATAGGTATAATTCCATGGTAAATTGAGGAAGGTCTATGTACCAGTTAAGATGGGAAAGGCTATGATCGGTTGCCAATACCCTGTCTTTTTGGGGACAACAAACAACCAGGAATAGAACCCTCAAAAGGACTGAGCCAGAGGTGCATTGGGAAAGAAGGTCCAGAAATACCTCAGAAAGATGCTGGCTGGATATGGGATTACAAGGAGAAGGGAGGGGGAACTGGGAATGGAGATAAGTGAGCAGGTGTGTGGAAAAGAAGGGAGAATCCTTCTGACAAGACTTGTAGAACCCAAGGATCTGCAGTAAAGGTTCTCCCTATGTGGACAAAATTATACAGCCTGGCCCTACAGGTCCTGTATGAACCAGATAGTCACTGATACTGTTGGAAGCAGATGGGTCAGTGGCAAAAACTTCAGTGATATGCTCTTGAACTCCAAGCAGAAGGAACAGGTAAGGGGAAGGATGAGATACAGGTATAGGAGCAGGGGAGGACTAAGACAGGCAAGAGGCCAAGAATGATAGGGAAGAATGGAGATGGGTTAACTCCACATGAGACCTGGACTGACACAAAAAGGGTGTCATCCGTAAATCTCTTAACGATGTGGGAGGAAAATACACCTGCATCAAAAAGGCATCTCTTCCCAAAAGATCCTAGCAAAACACAGGAGTCAAGTGTGAAAGGACAATGCTAAGGAGGACAAACACATCAATGTGGAAAAACAATAGGGAACAGCCATCCCTCAAGGGAACAACGGGTAGCCTCAGACAAAAGGTAAATAGAAGAGAGATGGCAAAGGAGGGAGGTTAAGGTTAAACAAAGGCAGGAGAATTGTTCCTGGGAGAAATGGACTGAGGTATCAGGGTTCAAGCCTCAAACTGGGATTAAAAAATCCAACTGTTGAGAATCCAAAAAAGGATTGCAAACTCCAATATTAGGCCAAAGCATGAGCTTCAGAAGATTGAGGGGGATGCAACATACTAATCCCCAAACATAATTGGTCAAGATACGCTATGCATGGACCCTAATATAAGGAGAGGGAGGAAAAACAAAAAATTTGGGAGCAGGTGTGTCATGTAAGAAGGAAGGAGAGAGGTCATATGACACTGGGGATTAAGACAAAGCATAACAAACCTGTGTTACCAAGTCCAGAAAGTCCAATGAAGGCCTAGAAGCATCAACTACAGCTGACAAAAGCTACACAGCAAAGGAAGGAGGAGGGAAAGGCTGTACAAGTCTTTGTTTTCCTGTCCAACATCCCCAGGGTAGGAAAAAAACTGGTTGAGGGTTAGGAGAGCCCCATCCTGCATGATCACTAACATTTCCCATCAGATAAGACCAGAAATCTACTCTGCCAATAACTTTGGATCCATGGTCACAGCAAAAGATGGTTGAATCATGATAGTAGTAGTGGTTGAAGTTGTCATGAAAATAGCTGCAAATTCATCACTGAATTTTGAGTGGTAGGGTACAACAAGATGAAAAATGTAACTGAAAAAATAAAGAGCTGTTGTCGAAAAAGAAAGAAGAAAAGTATTGCACGAAAAAATTCAACTCGTACTGAATTGCTGTTAGATTATCAAACACTGAAAACTCAAAACATCTAAACACTTGAGTGCCAAATCGAGAAGTGAAGTTAGACTATGTAATTCAGGGGAAGACAGCTGCACCAGATTGGTGGAGGGTTGTAGCTGGCTTTTGCATGCTACAGCACAGCTGTACCATGTTCAACAGGGGGGTAGGTGGGAGAATCAGGGCTCATGGCAAGCGAAAAAAACTGAGCATATAGAGGGCAACATTAATGGAGAAAAGCTATTACATGAGAGAAGTTAATGTATTGTATCAAATATTTAAATTAGACAAGTAAATTATAACACCGGTAAACAGGATGCTTGTTTTTAAATTTCTTCTTTTAGTTTGTTACTTATACAGTCATACCACTTGCATTTTCCCTTATTTTAAATATAAACAATATGAAAACATTTTTCTGAAGAAAATCTAGCTTCTAAACGATGACAAATCCATTCTGTAAGAAGTCTATATTACAATAATTGCAGGTGTCCTAGATTAGCCTAACTTTGATGAAACCTCTAGAATCCAGACACACTGTTAAAATGTCTAGAAGAAACCAAGGAGTGAAAAAATTACCCTGGTCAAGTTTGACATTACTATTGTTGCATCAGATGGAGATTTATTGGCTTAGGCCTTGACTGGATTGCTGCAAACTCCAGCTGTGTTGATTTCAAATAAACCTCAGAAAAAAAAAGCTTTTATGGGAATTAATAGCCTAGCCAGATAAAAACCTGAATGTGAATTTTTGATATTATAATGTAGTGTAAGAATGGATAGCCATTTCTTTATTAATTTTTAAAAAAAGGAGAGTCCATACCCCATGGACCCATGCCCTAGATCCACATTTGCTTTTTACAGCATTAAACAATGTTATTTATTTCTGGAAAAAAAGCAGGTAGTGAAGAAGAGAAATTAACAAATAAATAATTAAAGAATACATTTATTAACCCTGTGCACATGGCTGAACCAAAATACATCATGACCTTTTACATAGCTACATCTGAAATTTAAATAAAAAACTACTATCAATATATGTCAATAAACTTGGCATCAATACATACTTTATAATTCAAATTTTAATACTATATCAGTTTTAATTTTCTTAATTCAAATGGAAATATTTAAATAACTTCTTAATTTTCATTTCTGTGTATTATGTGACACTTCACTTCAACTTGTCTATCTCAGATATTCTTTTCACTACTATATTAAACTTGAGTTTTATACAAATTATAAATTTATAGTATAAATATTACTATGACAGAATCTAAATATATAGCATCCAATCTTCTTGCTTTACTGAATTATCAACTAGAAAGTCAAACACACTTTCTACACCTTGCTATCACACACTGTCTTTCAAAAAATGCCAACAGTGCTGTGTGACATTTATTATTAATCATTCATAACCAATAGGAATAGGTTTTAAGTTACTGTTTTATGTTTAATACTAGCTTGTCCTGATTACAGATTTTGAATTAACATTACATAATATTTTGAGACAACATGGGACCTACTGGTCCATCTTGGCTGTTCCATCCTCAAAAATAAATTAAAATGATTAAAAATAATTCAATTAAAAAATTTTAAACCCAGACATTTTCATTCATATACTTATCAAGCTTTTTCTGAAAATCACTTAATTTACTGCCTCTACAACATCTGAAGCCAACCCATTCCAAAGGCTAACCACCCTGATAGTAAAATAAAACTGTCTTAGCTGAAGATGTCTCCTACCTTGCCAAAATTATATTTGTGTCCCCTGGTCCTACTATTCTCATTGTTAAATATAAAAAAAAGATGATACATCAACACTATCAATTCCCTTTACAATCTTAAACACTTCAATCAGATCCCCCTCCTAACTTCTTTTTTCAAGAGAAAACAATTTGAGAGATTTCAGCCTCTCATCATATGACAACCCATCCATCCCAGGCACCATTCTAGTAACCCTTCTCTGAACCCTTTCCAATAATTCAATGTCCTTTCTAAGGTAAAGAGCCCAAGACTGAACAAAATATTCCAAATTTGGCCTAACCAGTGACCTGTACAAAGAAAGTATAACCTCTTTAAACTTGTATTCAATATTTCTACAAATACAACCTAAAATCC